AGGGTTTAGGGCTTAGGGACATAGTGGAGGCCCCTGATGCATTAACCGCATCGAAGCCTCTTAGTTCGTAGGGATCATACTGAGGATCCTAAGCGCCTCCCCCCTCTTCCATCACAACATTTGGGCCCTAGCTTTGACAATCAAATATTTCAGGACAGATACAGCAGTCAATGTCCTGAGACCAATCGTCAGGGAGAAGCCGCTCCAGCCTGCGTCTTTTTCTTTCATCATCCATGCCATGATGGGCTCTGAACCCTAAAATCTGAACAAACCAAGCCGGTTATGCGGACTGGTAGGAGTCGCCGTAGCAATCGAGTGCCAACCTTCCCGTTGGCAATCGGCAGTTTGGGTTTAGGGCTTTTGGGCAAGAATAGGGATCTTCGTGGGAGTTCACCTAGATCATGGTTTCCAAAATTCCGTCAGAACTATCTAAGCAGGAGCCCGCTTGACAATTGGCACCAAACATGACCTGTATCACATGGGTAGTTTCCAATATGAGGGTCCCATTTTGGTTACTCTAAATAATTCCTGCCGTAATATAGTCTATATTAATTAGAAGGGGCCCATAATTTTGAGAAGAACCCACATGAATGAAGGGAACCTATCCATGTGCCGACACCCGGCCTCCCGCTGTCACCGTTCCCACGCGCACCAGGGGCAGCTTTGGGCTCGGTGCGACGAGTCGCGGTATCCAAGATACCTGGCTGAGCCGGAACAGAGAGCTCCTCTATGGTTTAGGGTTTTGGAGTTAGCTGTCAGGGATTTTCCTTCTCTCCGAACTGGAAACCATGTTGTTCGGATTCGGCACGCACATCATGGATCCAACTATCTTCGGGTGACCCCAAATGCACCAAAAAAATAGCACAGCCATTGCCTGCGAGCGGTTCGCTTTCGGATTGCTGCTGTTCTGCGAGGTGCCAGCCTAGCAGAAATCACCACAACCACGACGACATCTACGACTACGACTACCTCCACTACCACCTGCTGCCGCTGCTGCCGCCGCCACTGCCGCTGCTACTGCTACTACTGNNCGACGACGACGACGACGACGACCTTCTCCTCCTCTACTTCTTGTACTAAGAAGAAGAAGAAGTTACTACTGCTGCCGCTGCTGTTGAAATTTCACTATCCTTCTGATCTATTCCCTTGCCAGTTTTGCTAGACTGGATATGTGTTTAATCCCTGTCGTGACTTTCCTGTGTTCTTTGCATCCTGAGATTGGCCATCTGCAGCTAGGAGGTCTAGGGCGTACATTTCAGGGCCCGTTGGATAACCTTAATGGTACACTAGCTGATGCTGCAACTTTTTTCCATGGGATGGTCTGCCTGCAGCGGTGCGCCCCAAGCGTAGAGGGCCCCATCCTGTCAGAGTGGGTGGGTCAGATGCTGCCAAGCTTCTTGCAAAAAAACGTGCATCAAACTGATTATTGTCCTGCATAAGTAGTTGACATCATCCTTCTTGTCATGCCCATAGAACGGACCCGGAATTTGGACAAATACAACATGCCCGGGCCTTCGACAATGCCAACGAGTGCAAACAGCCCGCATCGACGCGCACAATGCGAGTGCCCACGAGTGCTCGAATTGGATGAGGCCTTAGGGGTTTAACGTTTAGGGTTTAGGGGGAGCTTCTGGTGTAAGGCTTGCAGAGGGTACCAAAAGCAATCTGAAGGATTCTGTGGCCCTCACCGCACCCACCAGTGAGACAACTGTCGCAGTCGGAACCTGCACCATCCGTAAATCAGACCAGAAAAAAACGCTTGCAGCTGTTTACCTTGCCTTGGTTAGTGGAATGAATAGGGACCCGTATAAGGGGTTCCATAGGGCCTACAAAGAACCCACTGCTTCGGTCCCAACTAACCACCAGTCACCTAGAGGCTGGATAAACTGGGTTGCTGTTAAGG